GTTTCTTTCAGGGCTTCTGAAGGTCTGGCTGCCTCTGTTTCTGTCTGCCATCTTGACCCTGATGTCCCAGTGATCATCTGTGGGAAACCCCGAGCTCTGTGGCTACCACCTCACTTCCTGCTGGCTGCAGAGGCGATGCAGGCTGGTGCTCCAGCCTCAGGAAAGGGAGCACACACTTCAGTCAGCCTGCTCCTGTTTTCTCTCCTTTAATCTTTGCTATCAAAAAACAGCCTTTGTCTCTAAATGCTGCCTGCTCTCCAAATGGGACTTATGATGTGTCTGTGTATGAGGCCCCTGTCTCCTTAAAGAGTGTGGCAAAATAATAATAATCTTAAAAGCTCAGTCTTTGAAGTCATTTATTTATTCAACAAGTGTTTATTGAGCATCTACTATATATAGGCACTGTCCATGGTGCTGAGGATTCTGAGGTGAGACAAACCAGACTCCATGCCAGCCCTCATGGAGTTCACAGTCGTGTCAGAGAGACTGGGTTCAACTCTGGTTCTGCTGTGTGACCTTAGATAAAATACACAATGTCTCTGAGCTTCATCCACCCATCCATTTATTCATTTCTCCACTCATTCATTCACTCAAGAGATATTTTCTGAGCCAGCCCTGATGGCCTAGCAGTTAAAGTTCGGCACGGTCCACTTTGGCAGCCTGGGTTCGGTTCCCTCGCATGGATCCACATCACTCATCTGTCAGTAGCCATACTGTGGTAGTGGCTCACGTAGAAGAATTTACAACCACACAACTATGTACTGGGGTTTTGGGAGAGAAAAAGGAAGAAAAAAGAGGAAGACTGGCAACAGATTTTAGCTTAGGGCAAATCTTCCCTTGAAAAAAATATATTTTGGGGCCGGCTCTGTGGTGGAGTGGTTAAGTTCACACGCTCCACTGTGGCGGCCCAGGGTTCGGATCCTGGGCGTGGACATGGCACTGCTCATCAGGCCACGTTGAGGCGGCGTCCCACATCCCACAACTAGAAGGACCTGCAACTAAGATACACAACTGTGTACAGGGGGTGTTTGGGGAGATAAAGCAGAAAAAAAAGGAAGATTGGCAACAGTTGTTAGCCCAGGTGCCAATCTTAAGAAAAAAAAGAAAAGAAAAGAATGTATTTTTTCTGAGCACCTACTGTGGCCAAGCACTGTGCTAGCTGCTGGGGATTTAGCCGCGAACAAGTCAGACACAACCCCTGCCCTCCTGGAGCTTATGGTCTGGGGGGAGGGAGGACCTGAAAGAGTGATTACAAGGGTGTCAGGCACTGCAGAAACGGAGGGGATAATGGGGCTGCTGCTTCTGTATAAAGGGGATAATAAGGACACCCTTGCAGGGTTCATTCAGTTTTCCAGAAACATTTCTTTGAGCACCCAGTATGTGCCAGGCACTGTGCCAGGTGCTGGGGAAAGACTAGTGAATCAGCAGACGCAGTCCTTGCCTTCAGGAGTCTCACAGCCCTTAGAGGGGGTGGACCTGGCGCATCCTAGGGACCCCCTCCCTCCCTTGCCCTTCTCCCTGCCAGTGCAGAAGATGTCGACCTGTTGACAGAGCTGCAGCAGCAGCGGTGGGGGCAGACCTATGACCCCCATTGGGAGGGGAAGTTTTGCAAGGGGCCCAGCCAGGGGGCTCCTTGGAGACACAACCAGAGACCAAGAAGTGGCTGGGCCCAGGAGACCCAGATACCCAAGGGTGTCTGGACTTCTTTGCCAAGTGGACCAAAGGTAGCTGATGCTGAGGGAAGTGTCTGCGCTGACGCCAGCTGCCTCCCTGGACTCCAGCTGTGGCTTTCCAGGAGCGTCAAAGTCCTGTCATGTGATTAGAGCCTCCTGCCCCCAGGGGAAGGCACACGTGGGCATCAGCAAACGGGGGCTGGGGGCAGCGTGTCTTGAGTCAAGGGACCTCTTCTCACGGGCAGACACGCACCAAATCCCCATGTCTGCTGCCTTTACGTAAGAGCTTTCCATAGGAGGACCGTGGTGCTGAGCCTGGCCCCGTCCGTGGCCAGGCCCTGGTCAGTTGAGGCTAGCTGGACTGTGTGCAGATTCATCTGTACTTTGATGCAGGTACAACAGAACATAAAGAAGGATAAAAACAAAAGCCATGGAAAAGAAGGCACATGAGAATGGATTCTTCTGTCCCTCTGTTCCTTATGTTTCTCCTTTCCTTTCTTGTTTTCTCTGGGTTAGTTTTTCAGCTCAATATTCAATAGACATTTGAAGTATAAATTTAATGCCAGGCACTTTTACAGGTGCCAAAGAAACAGCAAGTAACCCAAACAGAGCCCTTGCTGGTAAAGAGATTGTGTTTAAAAGGAGGATACATTTAAACAGCAACTATGTGATATGTCAGGTAGTGGCCAGCACTTTGGGGGGGAAAAAAGGAAAGGAGAATAGAGCTATGGGGGTGTTTTTCTACAGAGGATGGTCAAGGAAGTTCTCTCTGATAAGCAGAGGCTGAGAAAAGTAAGAGAATGAACCAGGGGGATATCTGAGGCAGTACATTACAGGCAGTGGGAACAGCAAGTGCAAAGGCCCTGAGGCAGGATCTTGGGTCTTTCCACAAAGGTTTGATTAAGTCTTGGACAGCTATACATTTGAGGCATTACTCACAAGAGAGAGTCTGGAACACATATATTGTGATTTTTTTTCCATTTGTTTACTCAACAAGTACTTACTAAGTGCTCATTAAAACTGCAAAGACAGGATCCCTGTCCACAAAGATCTTACAGCCTTCAGAGGGAGACAGATAAGTTGGCAGGTAATTGAGTGTGATTGTAATCAGCCCAGAGAGGCATAGAAGCAGAGAAGAGAAGGACAAGCCAGCCTATGGTGTTTAGGAAAGGCTTCCTAGAAGAGGTGAACCTAAACGATAAGTAGTAAGAGGCTGGGCATTGTATGATCCAGGCAGAGGAAAAAGCATATGCAAAGGTTTGGAGGTGGAGAAGAGTTCAGAGAACCACACATTGGGTGGAGCATAGAATGTGTGAGAGAGAAGCTGTAGATGAGATAGGAGCTGTGGACGGGGGTCAGATCCCAGGAAGCATAGAGTGCCGGGAATGGGGGATAATCCTGAGAGATGATACTGTGGCATCTGACTTCAGGGGAGAGAACAGAATCAAAGGGGACAAGAATGAAAGCAGGGAGACCCATTAGGCAGCTGTTAAAATCACTCTCGTAAGAGATGATGGCGGCCTGATTTAGGGGTGTTGAAACAGGGATGAGGAAGGAAGGATAGATTCAAGAAATACTTGAAAGGTTGAGTGGCAAGATTTGGTGATTATTGGAAATGCGAGGCTGAGGGACAAAGGAAGGAACCAGGTTTCCAGCTTGGGGGCCATTGATTAAGATAGATGATGCAATGAGGAGGGAGAGATTTAGACGGATTGGCGAGTTCAGATTCGGACCTGCTGAGACAGGTGCCTCAAGCATCTCAGCCCCAGCAGAGAGGTCCAGCAGGCAACTGGGTAAATGGACCTGAAGTTCAAGGGAGTCGTTAGGAGTAGAGACACAGATCTGAAACTCAGCATTCTGGGGATGGCACTCAAAACCGTGGGATAACTTGACACCTCCCAGGGAGAATGTATGGAGTGAAAAGAAAAATGGGACTTATCAGCACTCTCAAGGACAGCTGGAGGAAGAGGAGCCTGAGCATGAGAGTGATAAATCACAGGTATCCAAGAAAATCAAGACAAGAGCGTACAGGGGAGTCAAGGAAATGCAGTGTGCCCAGAGGAAGAAGCGAAAAACAATCCATGGACAAGAGAACAGAAGAAATGCCCAGTGGACTTGCCTATGCGATGACCTTAGCAGGGCAGTTTTAGCCACGGGGTTCCGAATGGAATGGAGAAGTCATAACAGGGATGGAGGAACTGACTCTGAAAAGGAGGAAGATCACCTTATCAGAAGTTGGGGGAGGAAGTGGGCGTTTATATGTCTATAAGGGAAGGAGACACAAAGGTGAATGAGGTCAGGTGTTGTGACATAAATTTTCTTGAAGTAGGATGCAAGACACCTGCTGAGAATGGGGTGAGGGAGGGAGTAAGTGGGGAGTGATGGCTGCAGAGACTGTTTGAAAGGATGGGGAAGGTTGAGAGCGGCCACTGGGGAGATTAGAACGAGCACCTGGCCAAAATTAGTGGATCAGTGGGCTATTTGGTGGGCCCAGACGGATTTCAGAATCCTGCATTTGTGATTGTTGTAAGCTCCACATTTAGGGGATTTTTCTCCAAATGCACTAGGAATAGAGAGAGTGGCTTGTAGCATGTTTTCTTTGTCCGGGTTGAGATTTTGCTGGAAGGTGTTACCAATGCCAGGAACCCTATGCTCCCTGCCCCTAGTAGCCATGGCTTCTGAAAGAATCCCAGAGTAACACAGAAGAATCAATGGCCACTTGTTCTGCAAAAGCTTGACTCTTATCAACTCCGTGATATCTACCACGCGACGAAAGCCAGGTCCAAGCCTGGGGTTTAAAAGTCCAAGAGGTACAACCTCAGTTCCATACTGTCCAATCTCTGGAGTAGCCTGTGTATCAGAGGGATGGGAGGAGAGGCTGTTCCGGTGCTTATTTTGTCCAGGGGTCTTGTCTCTCTGTTGCTATTCGATGATTCACCATCACCCAATTGGCTCTTTCAGACTCCTCAACGTTGAGTATCCAAAGGAACACCAGGTAAAATCAGAAGTGCACTGTGCGAACAAGTGCCTGTCTGATTTCTCTCCACTCCCATTTGGGTGTTAAGCTTCCTCTGGATTAGTGCTTGCTTTCTGGTAATAGACACGGCACTAGCTTCATTGGTTTATTGTGGTGATTCAGCGTGAGAAGGAATGGGTGAGCAGCACTCAGCGTGCCCTGGGTGTTCAGTACCCACTCCTATTGTTTACGAAGAAGCATTTGTGTGAAAGGGAGACTGCTGGTAAAGTTTACAATAGGGAGGGGAGGTGGCCCTCCTTTGTGGTTAATTGTTTATCTTCTCTCCATCCCTCAAGTCTAGCACGTGCCTGGGAGATTAAATCCAGGGACACCTCATCCCCAATTGCAGGGAGCCACCTGGGTGAGAAATTGCAATAAAAGGACGGTCCACAGCAGGCTTGCATTCCTACGGCTGGTCAGAGGAGGAGGAACGCTGTGTTCTCACTGAGGTAAGTCCTGCTTCAAGCCCAGTGGGCTTTCTCCTGATCCTTTGGGGCTTCCCCTGACCCTTGACACATTGGACTTGCTAGGGATTTTTGTTTCTGGAAATTTTCAGAATCCCACAAAGAGTTTGGACCCTGGCCTTTGTCCAGTGCCCCAGATATCACTCTATGTCCAGCTCAACCATGAATCCAGCCACCTTCCCCCTCCCCCCTGCCCCTGGACACCCACCAGGAAGCTAAACCTCTACTTGATGTCTCATCTCTAAGAATTACCAGTCCTGGGTGCTCTCTCATAACATACTCATGATCCCTTCCAGAAATAGATCTCTATCTTCAACTGAAGTCTTCCGGAGGCTATAAGAAGCCATCCAAAGTTTTGCCCATTCAAGGGAAGAGCTTCCCAGAAGAGGAAATATTATTTATTCGAGTGTCGGTAGGCTCTTCACAGCTCTTTGTTCCTACGGCCCCCAATTTATCTATTCATTCATCCCTCAAACCTTGACTGAGCACCCTGTGTGCCAGACACCACTAGGAGCAAGCATGTGGGTCTCAGGCTGACATGAAGTCTACACACATAGAGGATACTCGGGGGGTCTCTTAGCCCAGTGCCTGACACACAGAACTAGGGAAGGGCAGCCATTCACATTGGTTATTGATCGGCTGAGACTGGCACACAACACAGTGTTATCCCCTTGGCAAGTCTCCTAGTCCGATTACCCCATCTCCTTTCTGCATGTCACGCCTGCTTTAAACACTCTGTGAAGAAGTCATCATCAGTTTCTGAGAACATGGGCCTCGGACCTTCAGCAATCTATTTAACTTCTAGAACAGTGATTGCACATAGAGGAGCTCCGTAAATAATTCTGGGGTTAATGTCCTCTGTGTCTCAGCTTCTTCATCTGTAAAATGGGGGCAAAATCATAGTACCTTGCAAGGAGGGTGGTTCAGAACCTTAAATGGGCTAAGGTATGCAACAGGCTTAGTCCAAGTCACAGTGCTGAACTGATGTGAGTTTCCTCTTACCCTTGCATCCAGAGGAATGACCTCCATTGCCCTGATTGAGTCTGGGTCTTTCCTTTCCCCTAGGTGCATGAAGAGTCTGCACGCTGCAGAGTGACCAGCGTGTCTCAGCCCTTGGAAAGGATGGCGAGCTCTTGTGTCCTGTGGCTGGCCTTGGCCTCCTGCATTCTGACCCTGGCATCTACACAGCAGCAAAGTGAGTGCTCTGTTCACCTGGCACCTCAGACACCCAGCACTACCTGGACAGTGAGCAGGGCAGTGCAGAGAAGGCAGTTCAGAGAAATCCTTTCAGAGTCCGCAGGAGGAGCAGGGGCGTGTTTAAAGGAAAGACCCAGAAACTAGAAGTCAAAGGGAACAAGATGAGAGAAACCGAAACTGAGTCCCCATCTCTCGAAGAACCAGATCGGAAATTCCCCCGAAAGGCCCCGTGGGAGCCAGTTCACGTAATTTCCCAGGCCCACATATGGGGGAGGCAGAGAGCCAGGTTCATGGGATGTGGATCACCCAGTCACCCTGTGCCCTTGTTTTGACAAGCGCCTTCCCCTCCCTCCATATCCGTTTGCTCATCTGTAAAATGAAAAGACTGGATTTAGTGATCTCTCCGTGTTCTTCCAAAGATCTGTGGATTGGGCATCTTCAATGCTTGTGGGAAGGGTTCTCAGGCTCAACACCAAGATGAGAATTTCTGCCCCTGTCACCTATGGAGGAGACTGGGGGGCAGGGACTCAGCTCATGGCCTCCCTTGGGAAAAGACAGTTTGTGCAGGAGAATAATCCAAGAATAGCAAGCGCAGCCACTCCTTTCCTTAAAACAAGTACATACGCAAACAGGGCTCAAAAATCTCTTTTTCTGAAAAGTCCCTCTAATGTGTGTTATGAGAATGTGATCCCGTGCGTGCACGTAGTTCGTCACCCAGGCACTCACACTATTCAACAAGTCAGGACTAGGGGACAGAGCTGCCTTGAACTCCAGGGACACAAATGCTTGGCATTTTACACCTACTATCTCATTTAATCCTCTAATAATCCTTTAGAGCTTTAATTTCCAAAACGGAGCTTACATACACCAGGATGACGGTGGGGGTGCATGGCAAATTCTTAAGGAATTTTTTGATGGCTCTCCTTATTTTTTTCATGTGTCTTAAAAAAATATAACTTGTACATCATACCTATGGTATCACAGATATTATTCCTTAGGATGAAACGAATTTATAAAGAGAGTCATTGAAAGAAAAGTGTTAAGTACATAAGAGGACAGGCAGACACAGGTGCAACAAACGGAGTGACTAAGGCGTGGGAATGGATGGAGTTTGGGGACCCCTTGCTCACAGGTGTTGTCTTGCAAATGAGTCTCAGGGGAGTTGAAGCACTTGCCAGCAGGTGTGGAGCTGGGGGGTACTCCTGGCATCTAGTGAGAAGAGTGCAGGGATGCTGTTAGCCATCCTATGAGGGAACAGACGCCCCACAACACACAATGATCCCGCCCCGAACACCCATAGCGCTGAAGTTAAGAAAACTTGTGTTAGATCTGTATCTACTGATACTGGAAAGATGTCCGTGATATAGTAAGCAAAAAATGCAAGTGGACATAAAAGAAGCTGTACAGCATTAAACGCATTTTTACTTTTAAAAATCCTCTATTTTAAATATATGCATAGAAAGGGTCTGAACACTATACAACACATTTATGATTACTTCTGGGGATGGAATGGGCTTATGACAACTTTCATTTCTACTTTATTTTAATGATGTTTGAGGTTTTTCCAGTGAGCCCATATTACATTCATAGTGAGAAAAACAAATATCGGTCACTGTGTATGGTTGCACAGGGGAGCACTGCACAACTCCAGGGGAGAGAGCCACTGAGCTCAATGTGAACGATGCCCCCTGGGGTTGTGCAGGGTGGAGACTCTGATGTTCTTAATGCCTGTGAAGTACTGCACACAGGCCTCATTATTGTTCTGACCCCAAGGTGATGAAGGCTGATATTTAGTTAACAGATTGTGTGCCTCTTGTCCTCATTAGGGTCCTTAGCACATCCAAAACAACGTGTGTCGGGGGATAAAAATCCTGTAGGCCCTGGGGTTGCTCAGTAAACCTGAGCACGCTGTTGCATTCCAGTTTCCACCAGCAGCAACTCCTATGGACCCGACTTGGAGTGTGGAGCTCCCGGCACGCCAGAGGCCCAAGTCTGTTTTGACCCCTGCAAGAATTACACCTTCCTGAATGAATCTTCCCGAAGCTCAGAGAACACAGAAAGAGGGCAGATATGTGACAGCAACCTGAGGGGCTGGTACCGTTTTGTGGGAAAAGGAGGAGTGAGGATGCCAGAGACCTGCGTCCCAGTGTACCGATGCCAGACGGACGCCCCCATGTGGCTGGAGGGGACCCACCCCACCCTCAAGCAGGGCATCGTCAAGCGCACTGCTTGTGCCCAGTGGAGCGGCAGCTGCTGCCTCTGGAAGACCGAGGTGGAGGTGAAGGCCTGCCCGGGTGGGTACCACGTGTACCGGTTGGAGGGCACCCCAGAGTGTGCGCTGAGCTATTGCACAGGTGAGCGGCAGGGACCCTGGAGTGCAGCTGCCGGCAGGGGGGCTGCCCAGTGAAACGCCCGGGGGGTGGTCAGCAGAGAGAGTGGAGCAGGTCAGGAAGAGACTAAGCAGAACAGCCTCGACCCAGCTCCTGCCAGTTACTGCCCAGCATCAATCCCGCCCGGGGTTACCAGGTCTTCCAACACGCCAAGGAAAGCCAGAGATTCGTTTTCCAGGGTGAAGGCTCCTGATGGACCCAGATGTGTAGCACAATACTGAGAACTGAGGCTCCTTCATATTTAGGTTCCATTCGGGCAGTTTAATTTCTCTCTCTGAGCTTCAGTTTTCTGGTCTGAAAAAAATGGATAATGGCAAAAATAACAGCTAATGCATAGAGCTTACAGTGTCCCTGCTCCTAACCTACGCACTTTAGAGTATTATCTCATTTAATCCTCTCACCAGCTTCCTGAGATAGGTACTATCTAACTACCCCAGATGAGGGCTCGGGGGGCACAGAGAGGTCAAGCAGCTCTCCCAAAGTTACAAAGCTGGAAGGTGGAATTTGAACCCAGGTACTCTAGCTCCATGATCCATGTGCTTAACTGCTCTGCCACCCTGTCTCATTCAGTTACCATGAGAAGTGAATGAACTAACGCATGGAAAGTACTCAGAAGCATTAAGATGGCAGCTTCTGGGCCCTCACTTCCCTGGGCTGGGAGTCAGGGAATCTGAGCCTGCGGTTTGACCCTTCCACTAAGTATCGCACAACCTCAGGCGGGAGTTCTGTGCCCTGGTAGAATGACAGGTTGGCCCTGGTGGCCTCGGGTCCTCCCTGTTGTGCATCCTCATCCTCTGCCTCCATGCCTCACCCCCTAGACCCCACCACTGAGGAGCCCAATTGTGGGAAGGACTGTTACCTGGAGGATTTTGTCAACGGCACCTGGAACTGTGTCTGCAGAAAAGTCTGCAACAGCTCTGGTGAGTGGCTTAGGGGGGCCGGGAAGTGGGGACGGTGCTGGCGGAGGCTGGCCTGAGTGAACAGGGCAGCATGGAAGGAGCTTCAGAGGGTCAGGATGGGGTGTGGACCAGAGTCAGTGGGGATGGAACTGAGGTCAGGGAATGTGGGTTCTCAAAGCCAGTGGATTTGCAAGGATGAGAAGGCAGGGATGGGACAAATTTCCAGGTCAGCCGCTGGACCCCAGCCTCAGGAAACAGCTCTGGTATGAGTGGGCTTCACCCAGGAGGGACAAAGGAACTGAGGATGAGAGCCCTGCACGTGTGAGAGCTGCGTTCAAATATCAGGAGAAGGGCAGACTCCTGTGCTAGTCCTGGATTTGCCATTGTAGTGGCTTTCAGGCCTGGGACAAGTCACCTACCCTCTCTGAGCCTTAATGTCCTCATCTGTAAAATGGGGATGAGAGAATAATAAAAATACCCACCATACAGGGCTTTTATGAGGATTAAATCAGAGCAGTCCAAATGGGGGCTCGGGAGGTGATGATTTCTCATCCCAGGAGGTAAGCAAGCAGAGGCAGATGACCCATGGGTAGGGATGCTGTAGATGAGCCCTAAGCCCTGGAAGGGGGTTGGATGAGCTTCCCATTAAGATTATTTCCTCCCCTCCTAGGACTCTGACTCTTGCCCTTGGTACAAGCATGCCTTCCTCTGAGCACACTCTCAGTCCTTGTGGAAGAGAGAGTGTCTGGGAAGAGGGACAAGAACGAGCATATGTTTGGAAAACTGGGCTGGAGTGTGGATGAGGTGCCTGTGTGCGCCTGGCAGGAGGCGCGTGGGGATGAGGGGTGGGAGCAGGAGGGGAATGACTCTGCTCTCCTTGAAGGCTCTCTCTGCTCAGTGGGTGTTCATTGGGTCAGGGCTCTTTCCTGGGTTTTGGGGCATCACTGAATCAGACGTTGGGTTTTGGAGACACCCTCCCTGTACTTGGATGGGCTCCAAGGGCATCCTTGGCTGAGTGAGTGAGCAGGTGGCTTGCCTCATGTCTCCACTGGGGGCTATTCAGTGGGTCCTCATTGCTTCTGACACAATCCTTTCACGATCTGGCTTTTGCTTGCTTCTCTGTCTCCCACAGTTCCACCCCTCCCATTCTAAGTTCCTATACGTCTGAACTCTGCACTCCCGTAAACACGCCATCCTCTCTCTCCCATCGCCATGCTTTTGCCTCTGCTGGTCCCTTAGCCTGGGATACCCTCACTTGCTTATTCACCTACAAAACTCCTAACCCCCCCCCCCCATCAAGTTCTAGCCCTCTATGAATCCTACCCTGTCTTAACCAACAGACTTAGATATACCCTCTTGTGTGTCCCCTCTGCACCTAGAACGTACTTCTGTTAGTACTTTCATCATATTGCTTTATAATAAGCTGTTGGCATGGTGGTTTTTTACACAAGATGAAGGAATCCTCATGAGCCAGATCCGTATTTTCTTTATTTCTGTGTTGAATGCGCCTAGCACATAGAAAAGGTGGTTAGTAAATATATGTTGAATCAATGCATTCATGAATACGATGGAAATGTTATTTCTCTTAATTTCCTATCTATCTCCCCATCAGAATATTACCTCTGGAAGCGGGGAAATTTTGTCAGTTTTGATAAACATTGTATCCCCAGTGCCTAGAACAGTGCCTGGCAGATAGTGGATGCTCAAGAAGTATTTGTTGAATGAGTGTTGGATGAATGAATGAATGAATGAACAATGGCTCTGAACCTCATCAGATGTGCTGGCTTCACAAAGCCAGGAAGTGGGAGTAGTATGGAGTTAGTTTTGATTAGTTAGTCTAGAATGTGGGGCAGTCCTACTTCCCCAGAGACCCAGTCCCCAAGAGGAATCAGACACGAAAGCCCTCACCAAACCTGCACATAGGATGCTTGGAAATCTTGGACCAAGGGCTTCTTCGCCAAACTCGCCTACTGCAAGCCCAGGCGTGAATCCCACCTGGGTCCCAGATCCCCTCTAGTCTACCCAAAGTCCTGGTGGGCAGTGTGGCTTTTCCAAAGGGTGGAGAATGTGGTCTCTGCTCACTGCTTCCAGACTCCTATCCACTCCACCTGCTCCCTCTTGACTTTCCAGATGACCAGAGTTTGCAGCCTCAGCTGGACTGTGGGGCCAAGGAGATCACGCTGACGCTGGACGAGAGTCTGCTGAAATGCCTGGGTTTGGGGGACAAGGTCAGAGCCTACCTGCGGGACCATAACTGCAGTAGCATCATACAAAGAGGAGAGAAGAGCTCCATGTCTGTGACCAGCCCTACTCAGGCTGGTGCCTGTGGAAACATTCTGGAGGTGAGGAGTGTTCATACCACTGCTGCCAGAGGGTGGAAGTTGGGCCAGTGGGGGCCATCTCAGTAGCTGCAAGACCTTGGGCAAGTCAATTTGCCTCTCTGGGCCTCTAGGCATATGTGAGATTATACATGTTGGTCCATGTAAAGAGTTTAGAACAGGTCTGATGCTTGAGCTCCATAAATGTAAGCTGTGATTATGATTTTTAAATTAGGGATCATGTGGGAGGGGCTCATGGAGGAGCAAGCATAGTGGTTCCTGACTCATCCCAAGGGTCAACGATTGCTCTAGTTTTTGATCTTGGGTCCTCACTCCCCTTCCCATGAAGTGTCAGTGCCACTGGGGGCAGAGGCCCATTTTGCCTTCTTGAGATCAGAAGGCAGGGTGGCAGCAGGACTGAGAGCATTGACTGAGGAGTTACACAGACCTGAGTTCCAGGTACCCCTATGCCCGCATCCACATAAACATATATTTGGTCTTTTTTTCACACCAAAGAGAAATGAAACCCATGTCATCTATAAAAACACTCTCTTCTTGACCAATGATTTCATCATCAGAGACAACATCCTCATCAACTTCCAGTGCGCCTACCCGCTAGACATGAATGTCAGCCCCGAAACTGTCCTGCAGCCCATTGTAAGGTACGGCATTGTAAGGTACAGCCCTTTGACCTGTAACGCTGACATCGGTCACACTCACTTCAAGCACAGTTTATGATGTCCACAGAATGCTCCCTCCCTCCTTCTGGAGCTCCCAATCATTGTATTGTTCATTCCACAAATATTTGTTGATCGTATATTAATGTTGAGCATGAACAAGGCAGACATAGACTGTTTTGTGGATATTAAAGATTATTATTATGAAGCAATGCAGGGACATGAAACAGTGCTGATTAAATATGCTAAGGAACAAAAACGCATGACAGTTTCATTTATCTTGAGGAAGAAAGGCATTAGACAACTAATTATATCAGTAATTATTTACAAGTGAGATGAATGCGCTGTGGGAGAAGCACATGGGGTGCTGTGGGATCAGGGAGCAAGGGTCCCTGACCTGATCTTGGTTGGGGGGGAAGGTGGGAGCAGGAAGGCCTCCCTGCAGATGTGGGATTTAAGCTGACATCAGCTTTGATCGGATAAACAGCACCCTCACTGCCCGCCCAGGGGCAATTTGGATGGAATTCCATTGGGCAGGGGCTTTTGCTATATCCACTGTGCCTGGAAAGGGGCCCTATTGAATGAATTCCTCAGCATTCCTAGACTTGCCAGAGGCCTTTCTGGGGTGTCAGAAATCCAAGGTGCCCTTCCTGTTCCCTCATGGCCTCCTGGGCTCACAGAACGGCGGGATTAGAAGGATGAGAAATTTTCTACTTCAGTGTTTTTCACACTGCCTTGTGTTGGGGATCCAAGGTTCATAAAAAATAAAAGCCATTTATCTTGTTAAAAATTGGTGTCTCACTGAAGATTGTGGGGTGGAGGGAAGAGATCTGCTGCCAAAAATTGCGAACCCACAGAACTGGCCCCAAGCCCATTCTACAGGTGACAAGACGGAGGCGGGCACTTCCAGTTATTCTGTGGGTGAAAGGGAGACGCGTCATCTGTGATGCAAAGAGGATTGGTGGAAATCCTGGAAACAGACTTGTCCGTCAAGTTTAGTGCCCAGAAGATAGTAAATGCTTGATTTACACGAGTAATTCATTCAGAGATCAAAGATATGCCTTTGCCTTCATGACCTTATGCAAGCATGGGCTGGATCTATTTTGTTCTCACTGGTCAAAACCTGATGGTTCCACCCTTGTGGTTTTCCTATTCTCAGCAACCTGACCATCAGTGTGGACGGGGAGGGAGAGTTCATTGTCAAGATGGCCCTCTTCCAAGACCAGAACTACACCTTGCCTTACGAAGGGGATGAAGTTGTGCTGGACGTTGACTCCATACTCTATGTGGGTGCCATCTTGGAGAGCGGGGACACCTCTCGGTTTAAGCTGCTGTTGAGGCACTGCTATGCCACGCCCACTGAAAACAGGACTGACGCTCTGAAATACTTCATCATCAAAAATGGGTATGGGACAACTCTGGGATTATCTTTTGGCCTGAATGAGATTTTGGGGGGAAATGATCACCTCATCCCTGCCTGGCAGTTGTGTAAACTGGCCTACCTCTTTTGGAAAATAATTTGGTATTACATATCATAAGCATACCCCTTGACCAAGGAATATCATTCCTGAAATTTTAGCCTAAAGCATTAATACAAAGTAGGTGGGCAGGGTAAAGAAATGCCAATTACTTTTCATTTCAGTATTTTTTATAACTTTGGAAATAGGTTCATAATTCAAAAATAGGGGGTCTATTAGGTAATGATGGACTATTATACAGATGTTAATACTGACTGATCAATATGAAAACGGCATGACGTGTTACGGGACAAAACATTGAATATCGTTAGCTGGCAAAAACAAATGGAAAATGCATATCTAATGATCATGATACAAACCATAGTACTAACACCAGCTAGTATTGATCATTGAGTTTAGCTACATGCCAAGCACTGTGCTAAGCAGTACGCATGGATTATAAATGCTCTCATCAACCCTAGGAAGTGCATATTCCTGTCTCCACTCTACAGAAGGAAAGCGAGACTCAGTAAGGTTAAGTAATCTGCTCAAGGTCACTTAGCTGGAAAGTAGGTTGGCTGGATTTGAAACCAGTCTGTCTCACTCCAGAGACTGGACCCCCCAAAAACTTAAACTATGTGGGCTTATGGATAACATCTTGGTGGAAACCTCCACGGTTTACTCCAACCTAAAGCAATAGAAAGTCTATGTCATCAGGATGGAGGAAACCTGGGGGCTCCCTAATTCTCTCTGATGCTCTTTTTATACTGGTCACAGATTAAAGATGCAGCCAAGGGCCTCAGGCCCCTGAGCTTTTCTAGAGTCAGACCCTTGCCCCTGTCACCCTCCCAGCTGCCCAAATCAAGAAGATTCCACTATCCACGTGGAGCAGAATGGAGTATCCTCAGAAAGCCAGTTCTCAGTTCAGCTGTTCAAGTTTGCTGGAGATCATGACCTGGTTTACCTGCATTGTGAGTTTCATCTCTGCGATCCCCTTAATGAAACGTGCAAGCCGGTGAGTATCTCTTTGGACTGGACTATTCAGAGCCTGGCAGCTTGGTACATGATAGGCTCTCCGTATATATTTGTTGGAATTATGGATGGATGGAAGAAGAAAGGAAGGAAGGAAGGAAGGGGTGAGGAGGGAAGAAAGAAGGAAGGTATGGAAAAACGGAGGGATGGGTAGATGGATGGGAGGGAGGAAGGGAAAAAGGAAGAGAGGGAAGGAAGAAGGATGAATGGATGGATTTTAAGCCTCCTAAAAGCCTGAGTGTAAGCAATTATTGTGTCCCTAGGAGACAGATCAGTTGAAGGAGCCTGTCCACTAGGTCTCCTCAGCATAAGGCATATTTTAAATGATTATAATAATAGTTGACTTGTCTAGTGCTTCCTCTGTGTCAAGAACTGTACTAAAACTTTCATATGCCTTATCTAATTTAATTCTCACAACCACCCTTTAAGTAGATTCTTTCATCCACCCCATTGTACAGATGAGGAAACTGAGGCTCAGAGAAGTCCCTTGCCCAAGGAGCACACAGCTAGAAAGTATCAGCTGCCATGTGACTCCAGTGTCCATGCTCTTAGCCCCTATTTAGCACTGCCTGCTAATAGTTGGCACTCACTGAGTGCTTACTATATGTCTGTGTGTTGCATTTAACTTTCACAACAAGGAAGGATATTTAAGAATAGTAGAGAGGTGAAGTCATTTGTCCCAAATTAGACAGCTAAATGAGAGTAGAGATGAGATTCAAACCCAGGTTTGTTTGACATGACAGTAAGAATCCTCTAGATTGAGAAAACCACAGCATCAGTTAGGGCCATATGAGGTGGGGCCCCATTCTTGGGCCAAAGCTGCCCATTGCAGGAACAGTCTGGATAGGAACTGTGTGTTTGAATTTTGATATAATGAGAATTCTCCATCCCCACAGTCTTGCTCAGGAAATCAACTCAAGAGTACAGAAGTGGTTATCAACTCAGCTCAGGTCCTCGATTTGGGACCCATCACTCAGAAACGTAAGTGGCTAAGTCCTGATGACAAGGCCAGTGGGCAAGTACCAACAGTTAACTGCAGATGCCTGGGGTCACCAACCTAACAACTGAGAACCTCTTCTACCTCCTCAGTGTAGCTCCCACCAGTGAGTCTATCTTTCCGTGAGGTGCTTTGGGTAATAATAGTAGCATTTGCCAAAGAAATGAGGCTAAGCTCTCAGTATCCATCGACTTGTTTAATCCTCCCCTGATTTCATCCACTTGTCAGGTGAGAAGCTGGAAGCTTGGAGAGATTAAGCGACTCACCCAAGGTCGCCCAGCTCTCGAGCAGCTGGAGTTAGACTTGAACCCAGCTGGGTCTGATTCCATAGCATGTGTCTTTTCTGTATTCCTCCTTGCAGGTCCCCATAACTCAGTCTCTGTTGAGTGAAGTCTGAGTCTAACTAACTTTGTTTTCTGGTGAATGTGTTTTTCAAAAGCCAGTGACAGTATTCTGGAGCATGCTATAGGGGAAGCCTTCCAACTGCTCCTCAAATTGTCATCCATCCTACCCATGGGTTAGCAGGACTGTCATGGTTTTTATGCCCATCAGAATGGAGGAGCCAAGAAACTCAGAAGAATGAAAGCACTTTTTCTGTCTTAGAGAAACTAGAATGCAGTAATGTTAATAATAGCAATAGTCATAATAATACTACTTTATGCCTGGCACTGGGCCAAACAAATGTATATGCATTGTGACATGGAATGCTCACACTAGCCTAAGGAGGTAAGCACAATTCCACTTCCATTCTCCAGATGAGTAAACTGAGGCTGTCTTGTAAAGAAGGCTCTGCCCTGAGTTGTCCTGTCCATTTACTGAGCCTTCAACTTGAAGCCTCGTGTTGTCACAGGGTAGCTGGGGGCTTAGGAACGTCCACTCTGGAATCAGATAGACAGCGATTCTAATCCCTGCTCTGCTACTTGCTAACAAGGTCAGCTTGGCAAGTACCTTAACATCGCTGGGGCTCAGTCTCCTCATCTGTTAAATGGGAATGAGAATACTTGCCTGACAAATCTGTTAGGAGGACTAAGTTTCAAATGCATGAAAAGTATTTAGAAAGTTACCTGCCAAATAACAGATGCCTCCACCGTGTGGGTTGTCAGTGGCCGTGATCATCAGGTCCAGGAGGACTTGGAGGAGCTGTGGCCACAGTTCCACAGCCACAGGAAAATGACTGAGGAAACTCTCACCTTCTGCTCTTGTCTCCAGGTACCTCGCCTGAACCTGTCATGAGCGGAGCCCCCACCACTGCAGGTGCATCATTTCTGCTGCCTTTCCTACAGCCCTCCCTCTCAATTCTCTCCTTCCTCTATTCAAGTTGGTGCATGGTCATTCAGCCCCTTTTGTGTGCCCAGGGCTGGGACCTGTGGACAATGAAATGAATCAGACCCAAGACTGGCTCTTAAGATGCCCACAGCCCAGCAGGGGAGCCAGCCATTTAACAACAAATATTTATTGAGTGCCTACTGTGTGCCAGGCATTGCTCTAGGCACGGAAGATATAATGGTAAACAACACAGGCCAGGTGCCTGCCCTCATGGAGCTTATGTTCCAGTTGAGAAATAGACAATAAATAGTTAACAAGGTAATTTAAAAAGAAAAGAGGATGATGTGATACAAAGTTACTGGCATGGGTAATAATGCCTTAGAAGTTTATTTCTCTCATACATGAATGAAGCTAGAAGCAAGATTCCACGGCAAGTAGAGAGGTACCATGAAGTCTTCAAGAATCCAGGCTCCCTTCATGCATGGGGAAAGATAGCTGGTAATGAAGAGAGGCAGGTTATGAAGGCATGGGTTCAGGGCTATCTGAAGAATTGCAATCCTTAGGAGAGTCTACCCAGACGTCCCATGTTTCACAGTCCCCAGGTTTTTCCAACCAGGGCTCTGACATTGTAGCAGACCTGCCTTGACAGAGCATGCAACCATCCTTTAAGCTTGGCTATTCTTTTAGATCCTGAATTTGCTCCTCAGTTGTATCCACTCTCCTATTGCAGGAGATAAGAGCTTCTTACAACCTAGCTACCAAGGAGACCCTCTGGCTCTCTCTCTTGGCCCTAACAATTAAAATTCAGTTTCTCATCCTTCTGCAGTAGGGCATCACTACAATATAGTAATAATTAACCAATTCCATTTCCCCTGGAATCAGGCCTGAATTATTGCACTGGCCAGAGAATTCCCCCTCAACAGAAATATTCTCTCAAGTCATTACTGGTGAAATTTTTAGCAATTAGTTTGCCACCTTGTAACGGGAACTACTCATGCTACACATATCAGTTGAGATTGGATTCTTAAAGAAAAAAGAATTTAGGCTCCTTCCAGTTCACCCCTCCACCATCCTTAGGGTTTGCCCATCATCTTCATGGTCCGTGGTGGCAGCTGGAGCTCCAATGTTCATATCTAGGCAGCAGGATGGCAGAAACATGGAAGAAGTCACTGAGTGTTAAGGAAAGTTCCTGGAAGCTGATACCTTATACTTCCACTTACATCTCATTGGCCAATGCTTAGTCACATGGTCATATCTGGCTGCAAAGGAAGCTGGGAAATGTAGTCTTTATTCTGGGCAGCCATGTACCCAACCAAAGTTTGATGGCTCTATTAACAAGAAAGGAAGGAAGAATGAATATCGGAATGGATAAGTGGTCAGAAAAAATTTTTAGAGGAGGTGACATTAAACCAAATCAGAAAAGGAGCTGGCTGTGCAAATATTAGGGCCTAGAGGCAGATGGAACAACACTTACAAAAATGAGACAGTCATATAAGCAAATAAATGACAAGCAAGTAGATAGTGCAGAAGGAGCACATAGAAGAGTAATTAACTGTATTGGATAAGTTCAGGAAAGACTTTCAGCAGGTGGTCACATCTGAACGGGGTTTTATTGCATGAATTGGAGTTCAACAAGCAGACAAAACCAAGAAATGCATTTTGGACCAAAGGGAAAGCAATGCTATTAAGATTTTACTACCCCCAAAATGACCTATATTGGTGAACTCAGACATGAAAATGTTCTTTCCATCCTCAAATCCCCAAGTAGATAACAGTCTAAAAGTTTCCAGATAAGCTCAAGATAGCGTCTCCATGCTCAGTGCAAACAATCAGACAAGGGTCGGAAAGGTGGTGCTCATCAGAGAGGTGGTTAGAACTCAGACTAAAAGCACCTTGAGAGAGAGACCTCAGTCTCAGGTACTTCTTCCAATGTTTCAGGTTATCACAGAGCCTGGAACAGCCTGGCTTCCCGGGAGAGTTTGCCCAATTGACTAACTTCCAGGGTGGGCGGTACATTCTGGAGCCTCCTGAAAGAGGAGATCAATCTGATGTGTTAGCAGACCCACACAACAGGGCTCTTACGATTTTCGTGTTTGATGTTTTAGAGTTAGTTGAACATCAACTTAGATTGTATACTTATAAACTGGTTGTTATACACTAATATGTTTCTGAAAATTATGATATTCTTCTCTCTCTCTCCCTTCTAGGACATCAGCAAGTTACTTTGAAATTTGAGGGATGGGGAGAGTTACAATCTGGTAGTACGATGGGAAGGGGTATACATGCCTCTCCCAGGCCCCCCAGCACAAGGCAACAATAATCCAGGATCCATGATGTGCAGAAGAGATGAGATCCCGACCCTCCCAGATCTCAGGGTCTAATTTTCAAAACCAACACTTAACATGGTGTTAACCATGTGCCAGGCACTGTTCTAAATGCTTGATATGAATTTACTCACTTAAGCCTTAGAAAAATCCCATAAGGGATCCCATAAGCTATCCCCATAAGGGAATAGCTGCTAGTAATATTTCTATTTTGCATACAGGGAAACTCAGGCACAGAGAGGTTCAATAACTTGCCTGGGCCTGCACAGCTAGTTACAGAATTGGGATTCTGAGCTAAGTAGTCAGGCCTCAGAGGCAGTGCTTTTTAACCTCTGTGTCTTTCTGCCTCTTCGGTATTAGTCAGAGAAAGTAATGCTAGCTTCTGTGACAAACAGTCCCCAACTTTCTCTGCCTTTACACGGTCGTTTATTTCCCACTCAGTCACTGGAGGATGCAGTTCTGTGCCTTGCAGTCATTAGGAACTCAGGCTGCAACCTTCTGAGAACTTCCGGCACCTCCACTATCCCCTGCCTGTCCTCTCCTGGATCCTCTGCGTCTGGCCGCTAGATGGTGGATGAGAGACCATGGAGAATCATGTAGCGGGTTTTAAGGACCAGGCCTAGAAATGGCATATATGACTTCTACCCAATTCCTCTGGCCGGATTCAGCCATGCGTCCCACCTACCTGCAAAGAAAGCTGGGGCAAAGTGCCTCCCAGTGTGCCCAGAGGAACACGAAAAAGTGTTCAGCGATTAAACAGCTTTGCCTCTACCACACAACCCCTTTGCCACCTCCCGGGAGCTGTAACCCAGACCACATATTAAGGACACTCTGTCTTAGTCATCCCTATAAGGCAGAAGATAGGGAAGCCAGCTCGCTTTGGCTGCTGAGGCCCAAAGCCTAACATCTGACAGTCATCTCTCTTGCATTTCAGGGTTCCTGGTGGCCTGGCTCATGGTCCTCCTGCCTGTCCTCCTGGCTGGGCTGTTCTGAGAGCTCAGCTGGGCATCCAGCCTTGAAGCTCACGCTCCTCTGTCTGACAATGGTTTCCAGCCACCCTTCGGCTCTGCTGGTTCTCTCTCCAAATCGCATAGATAGTCTCAGTGTTAATAGACTCCAGGCCGGCAGGTTCTGGGAAAAGGGAAGAGCTTTCCCTCGTCTAACGCTCTCAGCGCCTTTGCTTTTCTCTGTTTCTCACGGTGATGGCCCTGTTGGCCTGGCCCACTTCCTCATTCATAAGCAGGATCTTGAAGGCAAACTTGCTAGGGGCCCCTGTGGCTCCAGCCTTTACCAGAATGTAGCATGTGTTTGTAACTACGGGGAAGAGGGGTCATGTCACTGGGGGGAAGGGGGGAAGGAGGATGAGCTCGTGAAAGAGACTCCTCCCACGGCTCCTTCCCGAGCACCCCATGTTGTGACTGCTGACAAACCAAACAGATCGACTCTTGCTTTCACCCGGCTTTGTCTCATTATTTCTCAACCATCGCTGTGGGGACATCTTTTAAAGGGACCATCTTCAGAGACCCTGCTCCAGGGGAGAGTGGTCTCCATCGCTCCCCTGGCCCCCACCACATTGCAGACATGCTTTGATGTGTCCAGAACTACGCAAACTCCAACCCCTGGGACCGGGATGCTGGAGGAGTTGCTCGATTTGGGTGCAGAGACGCTGTCACCCCAGAGCGCACCTCCCGCTGTAAATAGTGGTGAGCTTGCTCCGAAGGGTTAGGCGGGCAATCCCAGCAGAAGATGATGCATCAGTCCTGTCATGGTAGCCGCAGAACCTGGGTGATGGGTGAAGTTCTTTTCTGGAAACCTTTAATGGACCCTCACAAAGCACTCCACAAAACGCCACCAATAGAGAATGCTTCCCCTTCCCACAGCTGTACAAGAGGCCCCTCCAAACTGGCCTGAGGGGAAATGACAGGATCAGGGCCACACCATGGGGGTGGAGCCTGCTTATCTGCCAGAAGGAGACTTTCCAACGTGCTGCCTTATTTAGAGATCATGTGGTTGCAAGAAACAGAAACCCTCTCCAATTAACTCAGGCAAAAGGGGAATTAATTATAAGCATGCAGGAGCACAAAGTCCGAGAACAGAAGAGACAACCTGGCTACACAAGGAAAACCACCAGCATCCAAGGCCTGTCTATCTTTCCATCTGTCTCTCCTCTGAAACCACACAGCCTTTACATCTGCTTATCTTTGTCTCTCTCCGTCATTTTCCCCCTTCTGTTCGAAACTAGCTTTTTCTGTTCATTCATCATCCCTTGCTTAAATATAGACATGGCAGCTTCGCATCACTTCTTAATTTAGAGACAGGCTGGCATCTCACAATCCCACATCCTAACTGCACCAGGGGGATCTCACATCCCTACTTGGGTCCCAGGGCTGCCCTTGGTCCCATCGTCTAAGGCCAGATGAGCGGGCTCATCTAGCACAAACATAGCCAACTGGCCTACCTGAGGGGGCACGTCTCCAACAAATGAGGGTGTTTCTTGGACAGACACCCCAAAAGGCCACTGTGATAGTGGCTTCTTTAGAAGACAGGTACCAGGGAGGAATTGCTTCCTGTTTCCCAGAAAGTTAGAGGATTCGGACCTACTACATTCCAGGGGAGGTGATGTGCTAGGAATGGACCTGAAAGGGCAGTCAGGAGGTCCCAACTCTCTCCCCTCTCTGAAGCTCAGCTTCTCCCTTCTGTAGAATAAAGGGATGGGCCAGAGCAAGATTCTCAGACATTTATGGTGGAACCCTTTCTTTAAATATGGTTCTACATGAACATCCGATACATAGAGATTTAAAGCAAATAGGCTCTTGCTGGTGTCAGGTAGGGTACTAGCTCTCCCATTCTGTGATTCTCTGCTCCTCAGCCCCTCAAAAAAAGTCCATGATAACCCACTTTAAGTGGGTTAAAGTGATAACCCACTTTGCCTTGGGTTACCAAGGGCAAAGTTTTGGGAACCCCTGGGACATGCAACCTCTAATATCTCTCCCAGTGTAAAATAATGGGATTCTACTTAACCAGAGCCAAGCTCAGCTGTCTCACTGTCTGTCTGTCTGACTATCTATCTGTCTATCTATGTCCTACTCTCTCTCTCTACATGTGTATCTATCAGCTAGCTAACTAGTTACAGCTTTTTGTTCTCTACAAATGGACACGCTATGTGAGTAACAATCTCTGAGTGTCCGGTCTACTTCATCCGTTCGATCAACACTAATCTACTGTTCCAGGTCCAAGGGCCTGGGTAAAATAGTGCATGAAACACAGTCCCTGCCCTTAGAGATTAATATCTGGTGGAACACAAACACACACAGAGACACTTACAGGCAGATCACACTCAAACACAGGTACCCATTGACCCTCAGATGCAGAACTCATATACCCACACCAGCACAAACATTCTAACGGATGTACATTATCAACCTCACGTGCCCAGAGACACATTCCCACAGGCAGAGAGCCTCACCTGGGCCCTCAAGCCAGTCGCTTACGTATTTATTGCCATGAATAACTTAGTAACAGCCAACGTTTTTTAACATGTCCTATGCACCAGGCATTATTCTAAGTGTATTATGGGCATTGTATCATTCCAGCCTCACATTAGATATTGAAGGTAGGTACTACTATTATTCTAAGTTTTGAAATGAGTAAACCAAGGCTTAAAGAAAGTAGTTACTCACCCAAGGGCCTATAGCTTTTAAATGCTGAATTAAGGGCTTGAGCCCAGATGACCTGCATTTGGGGCATATCCTCTAAACTAGGCACTGTATTCTGTCCCTGTTTATACACAAAGCACACACCCATGCCCCCACACACAGAGGCACTCATATATTCACACATGTGCCACCATATATACATGCACCCACTCACATACAGGCACATGGGAACATATACATGTGCACTGACACTTATATATGGACAGACACACACATTTGCCAACACAGAGGCCCTCACACATACACAGGCTTTGACATTCATGGACGCACAGATGCTAAGATGCACACTGCTGATGCATGATCATTTAGATACAGACACACACACCTTAGTACTGAAAAACACAGGGACATTCACATCCTACGCTATACACACACACTCGTAGATACATAAACATATGCATATATACCAACAAGATCCAACTCCCCAAGGCCAGGACTCCAGCCATGTCTCCTCTCCCATTAGATTTCTGCTCCTCCATCCCCCAGTCCTGCCCAGCTGAGCCCCGGGGGCAAGAAGTCCAACCCAGGGGGCACCGTGAAAATGGGCTCTGTACCCAGCGTCTGGAACTTCAGGAGTGGAAGGATGGTGGAGCCAGTGAGAAGGAACCTAACCTGCATTCAGGAAAACTGGTGTCTCTGTCCTGAGGGAGCATCTAGAAACAGCAGGCGGAGGATGCAAAGAGAGTGGGGTAGCCCTGCCCTGCAGAAGCTTAGAGTCTACTTGGGAAAGCAGGGCATGCAGATTGCAGGCAGCCAAAGCCAAGCAGTGTAAGACTGAGACAGACACTGCTGCAAGAGGCAGAGAAGGGAGAACTCAGCTCGGCCTGGGAAAAGATGGAAGGACTCCGTCTGTTCTGGGGAGTTTAGTCCCTTCATTTTATAAGTGGAAGCTGAGGTCCAGAAAAGAGAAGTGGCATGTCCATTGTTAATCCTATAAGGCATCCTATAAGATGTGTTGTTACCAACTGGGCATGACGGGCCAGAGAGAAAGCAGATCCCCTGAAAGCTGGTCACCTGAAGGAAATTTGGAATGGGGACCCCAGAGGATAAGTTCCACCCAACCGAACACGTTGTGTAATTTCTCCTCCCCCATCTTTCTTCTCCAATCTCTTTCTCCTATAAAGGGCTGGAAATCCCCCTCTTATTTTCCTTCTTATCATAGCAGATTCTACCCTCTAAAACTCTACTAAATCCATCCACTTTTGTTTCACCGCATTGCCTCTGGTCTTCTCAAAGCTACTGTCCTCTCTTACTTGGACCCAGAGTGGCTTCCCATCTGGTCTTCCTCCAGTCTCATCCCTCCCAATCCGTTCTCCACTCTGTAGCTGGGGAGCCTTTAAGGCAAACTCATTTCTCTCCTGAAATCCCTCCAGTGGCTCTTCACTTTCTATGGGATGAGGCCGGCCTGCGAGCTGGCAGACGACGTCCTCCAGCATCCAAGCCCTGCACGTCTCCTCAGCCTTAGATCTTGTACTTTCCCCTTCATAGCCCACATCGTGGCTGCTCTGAATTTCCCACAGCCCCCTGACCTGTTCCATTGTACCCTGCTCTGCCTTTGCCCGTGCAGTCTTTGCTGCCTGGAAGGCCCTTCCCTGTCTGGGGATGCAGACTCTAATCAGCTTTAGGGTCATTTCTCCTGTGAAGCTGTCCAGCCCCTCCCATCCTGTCTAGAGCTGATCACGCTCCTCTTTCTGACCCCGTCTCCACAGAACCTTATAATCACATATATCATCTGCACCTGAAATGATCTATTTTTACATCTGTTCCCCAACCCCCACCCTAGACTGTTAGTTCCTTAAAGACAGGGGCTTTGCCATCTTCAAACATTATTGGATGAATGAAGGAAGACACAGGCTGCATCCTTTCTTCTTTATTCCTTTACTTCCTAAATCACGCTGTCATCTACGAGAAGGTAAAGAAACAGCTTAATATCAGAAATAAAGGAGACTTTCTCCCTTGGATAATTATGGTGAAAGAGCCAAAGCAGAATGTGAGACAGGAATTCTGGGCTCCATCCCAGATGCTCACTCCAACCCCTTGTCAGTTGATCTCGCAGAGGGTCACTTTCCTTCTTAGTTCCCAACTTCTGCGGCTTCAGGGAGGTTGATTAGAGATTTAAGTGCTTTGTTTTCATTAAGGAGGGCTGTAATGGAACTAATAGAGTGGTAATTGGTAGAGAGCAAATTGAGAGAGCTGAAGAGTGATTACCACTGTGGGGGATCAGAAGATGTCACCCCAAAATGTGTCTCTTTGGTTTGGTTATTTTTGAAAACAAAAGACTCAGAAAGAAACTTTGACCTTTCCCCTAGCTGTCTAAAAGAATTTAAGATAGAAGGCCTGTTTCCGGAAGGAGCTATCACCATAGAGAACTACAGAGTAATATGAACTAGGTGTGGTAGACAGGGAGCAACCTAGCAAGGGCCATTTGATCAAAGTCCTCTCTGTCTCTCATGTCTTACGAAACGTGGTCAGCATTTGTTTATCACACATTTGCTTTTCCATCTCCATGTAAATTGCCTTCCTCTTGTTACCACACAAAATTGGGGTTCCTTTGCCCAATGCGCATTTAAAAAGCCAATTAATTACAGCATCAGCTTTTGGGAAAATAAATCAGTTTTATTCTGTGAGATGGATCTGCAGGGAGACAGGGGGGGTGTGCCCTGAGGTCTGTCTCCTCCATTCAGGATTTGGGGCAAAATTTAAGAGGTTAGGGAGAACAGGCCAGTACGTGGAAACCCT